AAGATTCTTGCCACCCCCTCTGTCGAGCCCCCCCTCACTCCCCCCCCGGCTATTTCTCTCTCTCTCTCTCTCTCTCTCTCTCTCTCTCTCTCTCTCTCTCTCTCTCTCTCTCTGCTGGTCTTGGTGTTCGTCAGTCCAGGAGCATTTAACGTTAGCGAGGAGAGCGAGCCTCTGAGCTCAGCTGTGAAACGGCAAAGTGGCAGGCGCGCCTCTCGCCATTTCCTCCGCCTTGCGCCCTGGCTGCTATGTCCGGTGGCAGCTCGAACTCTTCCTCGCGGAAGGAGTTCGATGTCAAGCAGATCCTCAGGATCCGATGGAGGTGGTTCGGTCAGCCTACGGTGCCTCCGCCTCATTCTCCGCCGCTAAGAGACTACTTGGCCGGGAGGAGATCGGGCGGCCACTCCTCCTCCCCAGAGGGACCTTCTGCATTTAGCGGGGGAAGCTCGACTTCAGACGGCGTCGGTAGTAGCCACGGCGGGCTAGTGACGAGCGGCAGCGCCGGGTCGAACCTTTGCAACAGCAGAAAGTTTGTTGATTCGTCGGGGAGTCGGAGCGGCTCAGGTGGAGCTGGAGCGACTGGGAACTCCTGCTCTCGCTCAGCGAGCCAGCCGGAGTGCAGTAGCTCCCCCGCGGCGTGGGCTTCTCCGCCGCCACGTCGCCGTTCTCGCCCGGTATCGAACATGGAGCCCTCCGGCGAGGCCCCGGTGCGGCAGCTGGGAGTCGAAAGACTGGAGACCTCCGCTCGTGTAGGCGTAGACGGGGAGGCGGCGGCGGCCAGAGCCGAGGAGAACATCAACCACCCGGATACTGACTCTAGCTCTTGCAGGTAGGAGGTGGTGTTTTTACCTGAAAAGTGTGGGACAAGTGACTTCCCTATTTTTGGGGTAACAGACGAGTTGTGATGAGTCATTCTTTAAACTACTTATAGTTGTTGTACTTCACTAAAATTCTATATCAGCGAGAACAGATATGAGTCGACCGAATCCTTGTAAAAAGTCGGATGGAAGTGAGTCAGTTGGGGCTGTGCAGACCTGACGCAGTGGTGGAGGACCACTCAATTAACACTGACAGACAAGTAAGATGGAGCGCCTTTACAACAGCTTGAGGACCAAATTTACCTCCAGTTAACAGCCCTACTGATGAGGCGTTTTTTCCAGGCATTGCTCGAGCACACCCAATTTCAGAATGAATTGCAAAATTAACACGATACGCCAAAGCCCTGCATGTAGCTTCAAGGACATTGTTCCAGTAAACAGTCACGTAAGATGAAGGAGGTTCTTCACTACTCGTACATGTGATGCGCTGAGCGGCGCTCAATTCATTCACGTTTTTTTATGGAGCAACGTCGCAATTCCCAAATCTTCTTTACCAAAATCAAATGAATACATGTATTGATTGATTGATTAAATACAAGATAATGGTGTGTACGTCTGTGTCTGCCTGTGTTCCCAAGATACATACACACAAACCTGAATAAGTCATACAGCTGACTTTAACACATGCATCCTGCTTCAAGCTCTATTTTTTTCGATGCTCTTGGTTTTTAAAAAAAAAAATTAGGATAGAGTAACATAAGGAGAAATGTGACAGATCTGTCGAGTGTAGTGCAATCAGGTCACAGCTGAGCAAAAGGAAATCATGATATGAGCGTGAATTGAGGTTGTGTGGGTCTTGTGCAGGCATATACTGTAGCCTTGTTCCTGCACATGTGTTGTTGCCATACCAACGCAGAGATGTGGTTCTCCGTGCAGCACGTATGGTCTGGGTAGGTTGGAGTACAAAGAGCTATCACAGTATGGACTACATGTTTGACAGTAAAGAGCCACCGAGTCGAAGGATAGCAGAATCCCAAATAGAATTTTGTCGAATGCTTGGATGATCCCCACAGTGGACACCTCTCATCTTCCCCCTTCATAGTCTCATTTGTATGAAAACATGGTGTGATGTGATATAATTGTGTTCTACGAATGTGGTGGGAGCCTCAATGCAATTTTTCAGAATGTAATTCTGCCTTAATGTGGTTTTGTTTTAACCTCTGACTCTTCATCCTTTTTAAATGCTCATTACATCACCTTTGCACCGCCTCTGGAGTCATTGTATGTTTTGACCAGCTTGTTGTTTGTCAGAAGGGCTCCGATGCATCAGTTTGTTTTGAGTTGACTTGTACTCGAGTTTTCTGTGAGCTTGCAGAATTACTTAGATGGAATAAGGTACTGTGTTGAGACACACCCCAGGGATTGGACTTCACCCCTGGCTTAGCTCCTTAATGTTTTTAGCCAAGATATTTTGGATAATCGAATGGTAACATTTTGGCATCAGTTATAGGAAGCATTGAGTCCATCAAACACCTTTGGGATGAACTAAAAGAGAGATTGTGAGCCAGGCACTCTCTCAGGTCCAAAATCAATTACTGTACTTCTGACCTTACAATTGTTCTTCAGAAATACTGTATAAACATTTTTCACAAAAACACTCCAAAAAGACTGTCGGTAGTTCTTGTTGCAAATACAGGATTTAAATTTTTGTTACATTTACGCTTCCTACAATCTAGGGACAAATTGCCAGATTTTTCCAAAGTAAGCGCTCTTTTCTACATTACAGTACTAGCTTGGCTCTGCTTGGCTTAGTTTGGAGCCCGACAGTTTTCTGCCACACAAAAAAAATAAAATAAAAAAATAGAGAAAAATCATTAAACACAGAAGTTGTAATGAGACTTCCTATAAAATAGGACCGAAGGATTTACAATATACTTATTGTACAAACATACCCTTTCGTGTGGCTGTTGATCATGGTAAGAATTATTTTGATTGGATGGGAGAGTCTCTTGGAATCTTTAGAACCCTTGTTCCACGCCACTGCAGCACTTAGCAGATTAATGTTGGACAAATAAGTAATTCTACATACAGCAGACTTCCGCGTGGGTGTAAATCAACTTTCCACAGTTTTGACAGCAAAGTAGAGTAGGTGAGACAGAATCAAAGGTGCCTCTGCTGGTTACAACCAAGCAGTGCCAAATCTTATCAATCTTACCAAAACACATTTAATCAACAATCAAATTCTCATCACCGACTGATATTTGTGCCTACATGATGCTCAATTCATTGATTATAATAAGAGAAGGCTGGCAGACAACAGAGTAATGTGTCAGAAATGTATTGTTAGCGTTAACCGTGACTCCTCAAAACCACTAATTGACCAGCAGTAGTTTACTCCTGTTATCTGCCTGGCACGGCCAAAATGTGGATTAGCTGTTTGCCTGCAGGCTCATCAGGTTTCATCACAAGGACGTGTGATAGAATTTCATGGCACAACAACAGTTTTGTGTGTGTGTGTGTGTGTGTGTGTG